GAATCCTGTGTCCTGATCACCCTATGGAACTGTATAATTTGCATCACCAGTCAGCAGTCTTTCCAGTTGATTTGGACTTTCAAAGAAGAGTGAAGCTAAATAAAGAATAATGAGAGAGTTGCCAGTCCTGTTCCATTTTCAGACTCTATTGACAAAGAGAACAATCTATAGTTTTGTCACTTAAATGACCAGAAAAGTGCAGAATCACTTACTTTGATTTAAACAGCAAAAGGTGCTCAAGTCTAATGAAGACAATCTGATATACTAGTGGGTTTTCACCAAGAAATCAAATGATGACAGCCTTGACTGTCAGGAAACAAAAGTAGGCAGACCAATATAAGAAATAGAATATATGCAGATATTTGCATTTCCTTTCTCATAGCATCCATGCCTGAAATTCTTTTTCTTATGTTTTAAGCCACTTTTTAAAATTCAGGAGCTTAGAGGCCTTGAAAATACCATCTCTGCCACTCCCCATCTCTACAAAGTTACAGTCAGAACACCAAGCTGGGGTTAGAAGGTTAAGGAATATCTATGTACATGGAGATTAAACTGCAAACCTATGCATGAAAACAAATACTATGCTTGAAACTAGAGCAACAGGCTGTCATGTTTTACATTGTGATTTTTATTTAATAAATTCACAACACCTGAAGGTGTGATGGCCACCTTCCAGTGCTATTGACATGACAAATTCTTTGCCCTAGACAGCTTTCAGTGCAGTCAGAAAGCGAGAGGCAGTCATGTAATGTAGCAGAAGGAATAAAACGGGACAAGGTGTACAATAAGAAGGATGCATGTGTGTTCTGATGGCCATAATAAATAGATATGATACATCAGTTTGGATTTAACATGGACTTTTAGTTTTTGAGGAGAAAAAAATGCACTTCTTGTAGGAGGCATAGTGGCAGTTTTAAGTATGATGGGAAAAGAAAGCCTGTTTGTACTAACACTTTCCATTTTTCATGTTATAAATGTCAGGCTTTCAGAGGGCAGATAAAATACTGTACATGTAGATGAAGAGGGACAAGAAGCAAAACAGTGCCAGAGCAATCAGAGACATAGGACCACAAGTCTGGAAGAGATTTCCCAGCTCAGCAGCACAAGCACAGTAACATACAATCACTTTCAGACATTTTTCATGCACACAGGTGTTTGCTACTCACAAGTTCATTGCTACAAGATTTCTTTATGGCACAGGAGAGATGATCTGCATATCCAATGGTCAGTACAAAAGGGCAACTATGACAGTGGCTGGAGCAAAAAGCCAAGACAGGCAGAGGAAAGGCCATAGGGCAAGCAGTGAAAGTTAGACAGGACTGGGCTTGTACACTGTGTAGAAGACCCTAATATCTGAGTAATTATATAGCTCCTTCCTGGCAGTAGGCAAATGTTTTGCAGTACCATTTCTTTCCCTTCAAAAAGGAGCCTTTACTTCTCCCTTTGGAGCGACCTCTGCAATGTACTGGGCTGCAGAAGCAGGGCCACTGGCCTACTTAATGGTGCCCTGTCCTCGGGCAATGGGGAAACCCAGAACTTCAAGACTTTCTTAAAGTGTTTGTTTCTAAGGGATAAAAAGGAGTGGCTTTCTGGAGCACAGGGAGGTTTGCTTTACGAATTTGAGAAGAGGCTCATTTCTATACACAAGAACAACTGCACCAGATCACACCAAAGATCTTTCTGAGGCCAGTGTCTCATCCTTGGCACTGAACAATAAGAAATGAGTAGGAAAAAATATAAACCCGGGTCAACTACAATGTAGCCTACAACACTGTTAACCTGCAACAACTTGTGGTTCAGGGACCTCCTGAATCAAAGTTGGTGTTTTTATATTTAACAGTTTGCAATAGGATTTTCAGGCATGAGTCTGAACAGCCGCTTTTTAAACCCATGTAAATTTTTAGCAGCAGCAACATCCTGCAGTGAGGAATTCCACAACTGAAACAGGCAGTAGGTCAAAAGCATCATCCTCCTATTCGCTGGAGGACCAGCTCCAGCTGGTTTCATTCGGTGCACACCACCTCTTGTTTGGGAAGGGACAGCAAATAGTCATTCTCTGGTCACTCGTGGTTTTATAAACTTCTGTCATCTCTTTCTTCAGTCATCTCCTGTCTAGACTGAAGCCTCCTAGTCTGTACATTACTTCAGATGATCCTGGTTGCTTTTGTCAGCAGTTTATATGGTTCTGCTGTATTCTTTTGCTCTATAAAAACGGTCTTAACTCTTGTCACCATGTCATATTAAAGCTTGAGTTTACATATTCAAATCCTTCAAAAGTTTTTGTTCACTTGCCCAGAACAGATATTCTGATTGCTGGGTGCAATTCCTCCTGCCAATCATTTTTCAGAACTGGTGGCATATTAGCTGTCTTCTGCTCTCCTGCTATTTTGGTGGTTTCGAACAAGGGGTAATACAGAACAGTCATTCAACTAAAGGAAAATAGGTAAGGTGGGCTTTAAAGGAGCATACAGCAATTTCCACTGGAAAATTCCTGGTTCTAATGGATCTGCTGCAAAAGAATCTTTAATTTTTCAGATTCTAAGGAAGAGAATGAGAAAGTTATTCCCTTTTCCCCATCTATGCCCCTCTTTGCTGCTTTCTCTTGGGGCAACAGCTATTATGTCCTGTGTTTCACTACCCCAGTTCTGGCAATGTGAATCAGAAAGTATAAGTGTAGCAAAATGACTGAAGGAAAATATTTCCACATGGTCAGATTTTCTTTTGCACAAGCCAATGTCTGTGCAGACACCAAGGGAAAGATTCATCAAGATCTACAGGTGTTTCCAGTTGTGTAAGAACATCTTATTACTCAACGCCTGGCAAAACCAGCAGCTGACCATGGCTGGATTCCTGTCCACATGTATAACAAGCTGATGAGCCTACAGCATCCTGGTGGACAGTCCACAGATGATTAACTCAGCTTTGGGAGCCAAGTTTTCACCACTTGAACTGTTCTGGGACTTCCTCCAAGTTCTGCAATGGGAATGTTGGCTTCCCAGGTAAAAAGAGGCCCTTCCCCACAGTGTCTTCACTGGACAGGGAATGAGATAGCAGTGTGGCTCAGCACCGTGTTCACTTACTCCATGGTAAATTGGAGTGCCACTCATTGCTCCCGCAGCGCTGCCAGTATGATCTAAAGGGACTGTCAACCTGAGGAGTATCAGCTCCACCTCCCACACTTGCAGTGACTATATGCAGTCATCAGGATGGGGAGGGGCAGGAGTTCAGCGAGAAATCTCTGCACCTAGAGAGGGCAATGCCAGACAAGAAGGGGGAATGGAGGTTGCACTGGAGAGGAGAGTCAAGGTAGGTCCAGAGCAAAGCAGAGGAACAAAGCCAAGCTAGAACAAGATTGGGAAGACCCAATTGCAGGAAAAGCCAAGAAGCTCTGAGAAGCCATTCTGCTACAGCCAGGATCAGCTGAAGCCCTCCAAAGGAGGGCTTTGCTCCAAGAAGTCCAGCAAATGCTCTGCCACGCATGAGTGAAAGGCTGCTCTCCCTTCCCACTGTCTGGGAGCAGAGCTGCAGGTGAGGCTTGCAGTTTCTCTTCTTTTTCCTAGCAGTCAGATATGAGCACTGCCAGTGCTCCCATGCTGTGTGAACAGGCTTAGGAAAAAAAAAAACCACACAACGCAGGTGTTCCTTGAGGAAATTTGAAAAAAATTACAGCAGAATCTCCTCTCCAGTTCACTCAGAACTTCTGTGCTGCCCTATGTCCTTGTCCCATACAGAAGGGCATGCTGCACTTCTCAGTGTGCAGGACTTGGTTTTCCAAGCCCTGGACAGGTTTGGCAAGCCACTGAGGCTGTCTGTCATGTTCCTCTACTCCCCCAGCTGTTTGTTACAATACCTACAGCTGCACTGGCAGAGCAGTAGTTATATTTCATCTCTCATCCACTTCCAGCAAAATCCCACCAGTTTAGTTAAAGAAGTAAGGCTGCAGGCAGGCAGTTTCTTCCAAATTTAGCTGAAGACGTTTTGGCCTTCAGATGTCCACCTCCCATCCACTCCCCAAGCCAGGTTAGCACCCACAGCCCCGCTGTTGGAGTGGTTTGATACGGCTCTAAATCACATCAAACAAACTCAGAGCATCTACTCAAACTGCTCAGCCTGATTCAGACTTGTGGATGGACACGTATCTTAGAATAAAGTGGTAGAGTTGAGGATAAAAATCATCTCAGCTTTCAGGTGCACAAGTCTGTCTTCATGCGTGAAACAAAAAGAACAGCTTTCAAAGGCAACTACAAGGAAAGACCAAAATGTTCAGAGTTCAGTCCATCATAGAATGGACCAAATATGCGTGACCTAACCACTGTGTTTCACCTTAAGTAAAATAAGGAACACTCTGATGAAGAAACTTCTTGGCACTGCACAAAGCTCGTAACTTTCCTTCAATGTGATGCTGAGCAGTTGCTGGTGGTAGCATTTGGTACAGCTGGAACTGGCAAGGCTGCCTAGTCATGTCCTTATTCTCCTTTTTTTCCTCTACCCATTTGACCTGCTAAGATAAAGCTATTTAGAGATACAGTGGGTTAAGAGTGGCGTGTCCAGGGAAGGAGGGGAAGAAACTAAAGGTTTTAATTAAAGAAGACAATATTCTTATGCAGGATACCAGAAAACTCAGCGCTAAGATATAAACTGTTTTGGTTCAAGTACAGCACATGTATACCTCCTCATTACCTCATTACAGCTGACAGAACTACAACATGCCTGAATGTGGTCACAACACAGACAACAAACAGAAAGGACTTCCATCATCTTTAATACACAGGCAAAGCCTACAGAGACCACAACTCCCTGTGTTGATATAACTGGGTAAGTTGCCACAGAGATATATTCATTTTAGAGACAAAAAACAGATGCAAGTGTCTCTAGACCACTGCTGGTCATGTTTATCTTGTGGGTTTCACTTCAACAACTCTGATTTAAAAATCAAAGCAGGTAAATTTCCCCCCCACTCTCATATCAAGTAACAGATTTACTGAACTGGCAACCCAGTGGATATGAAGAGGATGCTGTTTTAAAAAAAAAACAACAAACAGAACAGACAAATACATAAGACACAACCTCCCAATTTCCTCAGTACATTGAGGCATACATGCTTGCAACATGAAATCCATAAAGCTGTATTTTATACAGCTGCCTTTTAAAAACCACTGAACAGGTGACAGTCCTTAGCTGGCCTCCAGGATTCAGTTCAGCAGATTTGCAGTTACACAGTCGCACAGATTTCTCTTTTCCACCTGAAGAAGCAGAGTTTCTGTCTATAAGAGGGGGGAACAAAAGCAAAATCACAAAACAAGCATCAGTGCTGTAAAACTAATTAGTTCCCAAAGAAAAGTCCACTTTACTTTTATCTTAAGATTTGGGATTGGTTGTATGAGATGAGGCTTGAGGTAACTTTCAGAGTTATTGCTTACTGCTTTGCAAAATAGTTTAGCTTTTGCATGATTAATTGGCATACCAGCATAGCAATACTTTCTGTGACATGGAGAAATTCAGTTCAGTACACATTCTTGTTCTTCACATTAGTACATTCAATATGTGTTTACGTGTTGTTATTTTTGTTTAAAGTTATTTGTCTTTCTCACAATCTTACTTCAGCTACACAAACCGGAGCATTAGCTCTCAAGGTCATGAGGGGCTTAAAAAAAAAACCAAAACCTATCGGAAATTCTCTTTTTACTTAAAAATAGGCTCAAAGATTTAAATTTAGAGTATTACAGTCTAGATTCACTGTTGAAAGTTATACAGAGAAAGTAAGGCATAGTTTACCACTGTTTTAACTTCTCCTGCTTCACTGTTGTTATTGTTAACACACTGTTGGGGCCTAAAACAGACAATAGGTGCTGAGCTGGCACACAGCCACTACAGTTCAAATATGCGATGGGATTGCTGGCTTCTTTAAGGAAAGGTGTCCCAAACTAGTGAGAACAGAGGTCTCCCAGTTGAACTGGGGTTAATCAATATCAGGAGATCATTACTGCCCACAGAGATTTTCTGGAGCAATGAGGGTGGATTAGGAACTTCCCAGAACTTGAGCTGGGCACGATCAGAAAGGCGTGCACCCTCTCAGCCTACTGTGCAGGAAGGGGCTGAGAACCAGAGAAGGGACAGGAGGGCTGAGTAAGGGGAATGTGGGAATCTTTCCTCTCCAGCACACACACGCTTTGGTTTTGCTGGCTGTTTGGAACACTTGTGACTTCAGTAGGTGCATGATGGAGCACAGAGCTGTTTGGCATCAACATCATATCATCATCTCAGTTTGTATATCATGAGCTGAAGCTGTATCTAAGAATCAGTCTCATCCAAGAGAGAGCTACTACCTTATTGTCATGGGACACTGTAGCTGTGGGAAGTCCATTCACCAAATTAATCTCCACTGGTGTAACCAGCTGCACAAAAAAAGGACATTATGAACACTACCAGCTCTAAATGTCAGTGAAATCCATCCTTAATCTGCCTGTCTTGTGATTTTTATGAGATGGAATTGCCACATGATTAAAAGCTGTGTTTTAAAAACCTTGTTATCCATTGACCCACATCAGCTAAAGGCACTTACAGCAGATATGGGCTGAGGCATCCTGCTTACCACCTGCTGCCTTAGTACACAAAAAGCTATCTATTGGGCGGGTTTTTTTCCTCAGCTGATAAATCACTGGACACAGCCCTGTGGTACTGTATTAAACCAGGTATCACTTTTGATCATTTCAGCTACCCTGCAAGACTGAAAAAATCTGATCAGACTTTGCTAATAACCTAAAAGGCACTTAATCACCACCTTCTAACCATCTCCTTGACACCATTTGCAATCGTTTGAATAAGGGAGGTTGACAGCATGCCAACAGCTTTGGAGTTAAGCCCCAAGGCTGCTTACTGTCTTATATATCTTTAATAACATTTTCAAGCCTTTGTTTTTACTTTCACGGGCACATCTAACTTAATGTGCTTTGAACATTCCGAACAACCATTGACAGTTTAGAAAGGAATAAAGTACAAAATGAAAGGCACTAAATACAGCTTTGCTGACTGTTTTGTGAGCATGATCACAAAACCATTTGCACAGAGATTTGTTATTATACCCTGGTGGGTTAAAGAATGTTACACATTAAAAAAAAAAAAAAAAGAAAACCATCAATGAAAACCAAAACAACCAAAACAACAACAACAAAAAACAGCGCAGGGCAGGGTCCAGATTCTGAACCTACAAAAAAGCTGATAAGCTCCACAGAAAAATGCAGTTCCTGAGCTTTGAAGTTGTAATGCAACGTCCACTGGTTAACTCTGAAAAATGGGTTGGACTTTTGAAAATAAGTATCTATAGTTCAGACTTACAGTGAACTGTGTAGCCCATGGACTAGACTTGTTTTACAGGATTTGTTTTATGGCCTGCTCCCTGCTGGCCTCTATCCTAAGCAGCTTTTAGATGCGGTAGGGAGCTGGCTGTGAACTGGCTGAATGGTTTTGATGGTAGTAGCTCCCTCCCAGAAGTACAAGAACCCTCTCCCTAGTTCATGATCAGAGCTGCACCTGCCACATACTGCACTTTGGCTGGGTGGTGAGTCACAGACATCCCCAGAAAAGATTGCCATGGTTGGCTACTGCTGTTAAAACAACTAATCCAACCTGCAGCCTGCTCCAAAGAGCCAGCAGCAATGAAAGGGTGGAAAACGGTATGCAGGTGGGTAACCAGATCTGGTGTGTGTATGGGTAGTAGCTAGCAATTCAGAGGTGGTCTGGGACCCTTCTCTTACCACATGAGTAAAATGAAGCCAGCCTGTCAATCAGTAAGTGATCATCATATGAGTGTAGGTTCCAAGCATGTCTAGTCTTGTAAAAGGAAGGAGATATAGCCTATGGTCTTGGAAAAAGGTTACGTGACCTGTGCTAGAGTCAGTTTGCTTTGTGAGACACTGTGCAAATCAACACAGGATGAAATTAAATGAGAAAACTCTTGAGCTGTGCAATAAAACTATATGGTTTCCCCTGTAGAGAACTGCAGGGTGAGATTTGCAGGAGGAATTAAATGGGAACTTCCTCTACAATCTTTTGGGAATCCCTCCCCCTCCAACACAGTTAGGAGCTGCTTAGTCATCTAAAAATCTTGCCTGCAAACAAAAGAGTTTTTCAAGGAAATGAGTGTCTCCAGGGGGAATATTAACAAAGGGAATTGTATTTTCAGGGACAGAAACATTTGTCCTACTAAGCAGCAAAACAGACTAAAATAGTCAAATGTAAAATATATATGTGGCTGAAAGCAATTGTCTTAACACTCCCAGTCTGTATCAAATTGGGCCACAGCTGAATAATAAAACTAAGACTTGAAATACTGTAGAAGGCAGTTCCAAGAAGTCCTCAACTATTAAATATTTCCATGTCTCTTGAAAATGTAGGCAGAATTCCTAGCTTTAATGACTGGAATAGGCCTGTCCTGGTCCAGAAGCACTGAAGAATCTTAATATGGATTAAATTATTTAGATTTTAAAATGATAAGGAAGAGATAGGTTTGTTTTGGTGAGAAATGTATCATGGAGCCACATTTTTAGGCTTGCTGTCAAATTTGCAACTGTGAAAATCAATAATAAGACATTCCTCCCAACCAAACCTTTTTTAGACCCTCATTTCCTCTCCTTGGCTGTCTTTTATTTTTATTTTTTAAAAAGTATTAAAATACAGTTGCTTTGAGGCTCTTACTGCTACTCCTACTTTGGATATCTGTAGTTTATGAAGCCTCTCTCTTGGTCTGTAAGCTGTAGGTGTCATAAAGGTCACTGCCATAGCCAGACAGTCAGAGAAGATTTTAGTAGTTGAGATACAATTGAATCAAGATTTAGAAATTCTGTCAAAAAGCTCAAAGGTTTGTAAAAGAAGGAAAAAGTGTGCTAGAACCACTTTATAGCACAGTCTGAACATCTTGTTTGGACTCTATATAGTGCTCAGCAGATGTATTCATTAGCAAGATTTCGTCATGAAGGAGCCCAAAATACATTTGACCTGTAATTATTGAACAGATTTTGTTTAACTGTAAATGTGCTACATACCAATCTGGTTCTGCTGGAATATTTGTTTGGTTTTTGTAGTATGTCACAATTCAAGGCATCTTAATTTCTGCACCTGCATTTTCACTTAATCATGGGCTCTGCTCAAAGTTACATCAAAAACCATTCTTCAAAGATGCCAAAGCACAGGCTTTGAACTCTGAACAACCTTGACCATAGATTACAATAGCAAAAAAGTTTGAGTGCCTTCTGTTGAAAAATCTGTGCAGGAGTGTAGATATAGCACTTCAGCTAAAGGGTACACAGGAGGCGGGGAAAAAGCTACCCTCCTGAGACACCACTATCTGACAGCAGCTGGGATACAGCTAGTCACAGATTGCAGGTTGCAGTAGCAAGAGACAGATTCAACTTCCCTCACAGAAGGAAGATACCAACCTTGGCAAATTCTCCACATTGACTGCAAGCCAAACAAGTTTCATTCCCTATGCTGTTCTACTTTGTGGCATTTTTCATCATTATGGAATCAGAGCAATGTAAAAAGTATCTACAATATGATGTTTCCTCCTTTAGCCTCTCCCCAGGGGTAAAAACATGTGCAGGGGAGTATTTTATTTTACTAGGCTTTTTGTTTGAGCTGGCTCTCTCCTCCTGGGTAATAAATATAAATGATGCTCTCACCTTACTCCCCCTAATATAAAAGCAAAGGTGTGCCCTCAGCATTTGGAATGAGAATAGTAGCACTAATGGCTGTAACTCAGCAAGAGAAGGACAGAGAGCTGAGGACTGTCAGTTCACTCTTTC